CTTCCTTGTGAAAAATTGACATATTGAGAAGTGGGGTGGCAACACTAATCGGACTTTAATCGATTAAGAATCGATGACCGCAAACTTAGTTGGCAACTAATTCAGCTCGTCGAATTCGTTGGTGGAAGAGTACATACACAATATGTAAATCTACACCGCACTGTTCAAACTCCAATAGTTAATCGCATCCTTTTTTAATGGTAAAAGCAGGGAGACCATTTAAAACATATGTCATATGTAATTAAATAAATTGCATTACAAATAAACATTCATAAACTCAAGAGCAAGTCTTAGTGTCGCCAACTAACTCCGTTTCTAATATGACCAATAGTGACTACAAAAATGCGTCATATACATGTATTTTCGATCTTACCCCAATTCAGACGAGAGATCTCTCCCAAACCGCCTGCTTGCGAGGGGGAAAAAGGCGGCGGCAGTTAACAACACACACAGCAGGAGATGGCGGAGAGAACAGCGCTCCGAGCGTGTGGATTAACTTTAGCCGTCTCGAGTGGACAATACTCGTTAACCAAAAAGATGCAATAACAGTTTATCATATAAGCGCGGACAACAAACGACCAAATTGGTACTAAACAAAATTTAAGCAAACAAGTGCACCACAATTACAGAACGGAGGAATGCACATGAGTACAACAGACACACACTACAACCCGTCCACGAGTAACGTTTCCACGTCAGGTGTTATGTAGCTGCTAGCAAGCAACACACAGAGTTAACCTCAGTTAATAAAAACATAGGTTAATGATTAGAGGTATCTGAGTTATTTTGTTAAAGTTTCAGTCATTCTGTTTACAGTTCTGTCATCACGATTATTTTAATATGATTTGTTAAAACATTGTTGTTTCTTTTGATGTGAAAATATTATGTATTTAATAAAAATAAAAAGCAAATGTTAGTTTTGTTCACAATTTTGTTAGTTAGTTTACCAGTTATTTCTTGTCAAAGAACCGTTCATACCATCGTTAAAAGGACCGGATCGATAAGCAGTGTCCGATATAAGTAGTAGTACAGTTAAAACCTTAACGATCCGAATAATCGATTAATCGTTTCATTAATCGATAGATTAATCGATTATCAAATTAGTCGTTTGTTGCAGCCCTATTGAGAAGTACAACCTTATTCCAAAGATTTTAGTTTAACAGGCAGCAAAGCCACTATAATATTGTGTTTGTGGTATATTTGCACATATTAATACCTTTGTAAAGATGACTGTTTAGTCAACTTGAATTCAATATTTTAAACAAAAAAAGGATAAATCCACAGCAGAAGAACACTCTTATGGACATCACTAATCAGAGACATTATTATGGGAGAATATGAAAGGGCAGTTTGTTTCTCTTTCCTAGCAGTGGTGTGGAGCCAGACACAGATATGATGTTCCCGCACTGATAGAACACTTTGAGGAGGTGGATTATGACGGTGGTCAAGGCTGCTCATTTTTGACTTCTTTGCTTTGTGTTTCTGTGAGAATGAACTTTGGGCCTTGGCAACAGAGAGGAAGGATTGAGGTGAGGAAGGGAGTCGAGCACTCCGTGATTCACTGGTGAAATTAATCACAACGGGGACAACGTATGTCATTATCTTCGGCTTCAGTGTTGCACAGTGTCTTCATTCTGTAAAGTGAAAGATCAGGGTCATCCCGAGAACAATGTGGCCTTGTTGATAAGGAAAGAACAACAGATAAAAAAGTAATGAAGGTGATGATGATGATGATGGTCATCTTCGCCTGATCGGCCAGCACGTATTTCTGCATTGTGATGGTGTGTTGTTAGGTCTGCTTCTGTGACGTAGATGATACCTGCCACCTGCAGATGGTGCTCTTGATTATAATTTGAGGTAGGAGTGCACCGAGCAGAAAGAGCCTGAGCATTTGGCTAGCAAGCTTCTCTTCTGTGGAGTCAGCTTCCAGTCTGTTTTCAGGCGGCAGACACCCTATCCATTCATAAGAGTAGGCTTAAGACTTTCCTTTTTCATAAAGCTTATAGTTAGGAGTGGCTAATGCTTACCTTGAATCAGCCGAAAGATAGATAGATAGATATATACTTTATTCATTCCAAGTTGGGAAATTGTTTTGTTTCAGCATTTTGACAGTCAATCTACAAGAATTACAAATAAAATAAAGATAAACATAAAACATTTTCTAGTTATGCTGCTATAGACTAAGACTGTCAGGGGACACCTTACTTCTATTTTCTCTTTCTCTGTACCTGTATACTCTCATGTCCCAAATATGAATGCTACCAGCCCAGCTTCCCCACAGTGTTTTGTGTCTGTCAACTGGCAGGTTGTCAGTATTAAAGCTTTGCCTGGATCAGGAGTCGTGGCTGTGCCCAAGGTTTCTTCTATTTCTTCCCACATTAACCATGGAGTGTCTTTGGGAGTGTTCCCTTGTCTGATGTGAGGGTGTAAGGACAGATTCTGCATAAAGCCCCACAAGACAAATGTAACATTTGTGATACTGGGCTATACCATAAATACACTTTGTATTTATTGATTGAAAGATAGTCTGTTTCATTGAAGATTCAACGGTCCGGCAAAGGCTCAGAATAAATGTAATTTAGCTTGAGCTCTGCTTAGAAATCATGAAAGGCTTTACAATGATATAACATTAAGAAGTTACAATTGGTATAATGTATACGTGCAATAAGGATCTGAAATCCATCAAAGACATCTTATTTTATCCTCTGACATTATATTTTGTGTCTTCCCCCTGGTGTTGTCACAATACCAACATTTTGGTTTCGATACCGATACCAAGTCAAGAATTGCGATTCCGATTCTTTTTCGATACTTTTCTTAAAAAAAGGGAAACAGTCTTAAATTTAATTATTGTGCTTTATTTCACACCAGAACCATAACCATAACACAAACTTTTAAACAATGAGAACAATAAACAAAATAAATGACAAGAATTCGTATTAAATAAAATTAAGCATCATCTCAAACAACTTTTTTGTTTTATAAAATATATATTTTTTATATTTTATTAACATGTACATGTCATGTGACAGTAATATAAATAATTATTGACAAAATGTATATTGCAGATGTTAGCCACATTGGTAAAAGATAGCCATATTAGACAGTTATCATTGCCATTAATTGCCTCGTCAAACTACGAAAACGTTCGTTTGTCACAAAATAAATTACACTTGTTTGACTTAGCTTTGAGGGCATGGGCTTGAGCATGATGTCATTATGTTATCTACCACATTCGCTAACCTGTCTGTCTTTAAATTCTTTAAACAGCTCTGGATGCCGGTCGGCGGGTGCTTAGCCAAGTTTGATGTGTTGGCTCCCTTGGTTTGCAGGGATCTAAAACATTTCTCACAGACAGGCCTCGTGGTGTCCATAGGCTTGCCCTCACTGTCAGAGATATAGCTCAAATACTTCCAAATTTCGCTTCTGGCGTCTTTTTTGTCAACAAGCCGAGGCGCAGCGGTAGTTGCACTCCCACTTGCAGCCATGCTTCTCATTTAGTTTTCTCACATGCTCTGGCAGCTAGCGCGTGGCCGCGTGCACGAGAGAGGGGAGGGACTTAGAACGTGCTTGAGAGGGGCGGGACTGCAGGCACGGCTGCAGTGCAGGGAGTGGAAGCAGAGCGCTGAACACACACGGCTCTTATTAAAACGGCGCTTTCTCACCGGAGTACTTTTTTCCCCGTCATTCTTAAAGTACCGATACTAATGAAACGGAGGAATCGTACCGTTTTTAACGGCAGGGTATCGCGGTACCTTTCAAGTATCGGTACACCGTGCAACACTACTTCCCCCTATTATTATATTAATATTGATACATTCTACAATAAAGTAAAGCATCGTTGCTCTTTTTACTGCACTGCTTCACAGAAGCAAAAATAAAACCAGAATACAGTAGAATAAAATTAAAGTATTTAAAAAAGAACATACAAATAAAGACTACAATAAGATGTTAAAAGGTAAAACAAATACATTTCACAATTCATCTCACAACAGGGATCACAGTGCACTTTAAAGACAATATAAAATAAGTATAGACTCCCATATTGAATTAAGCACAAGATAATTACATTTAATTGAATACCAGACATAAACAACACAGGATTTATTTAGTGCATTTTAAAGGTTTTTTAAGAGATATGTGTGTGTTTCCCAGGGGGTCACTCGGGTCTGTCCCCCAGCCTCTCAGCCGGGGCCCGGGCTCACACCGAGGAGACCTCAGACCTGCTGATGGAAACTTCATATTACAACTTCTACCAGCCTTCACGATACTCCGCCTACTACGGAAACCTCTACAACTACCAGCAATACCAGGTGAGTAAGAAAGAACCACCTTGACAAAGTATTGTATTGACTAATCATGTCGGCAGTAAAGAAGTCCCGGTATAGAAAATAACAGATTTAAAGAACGCAGAAAGAAAGAAAATGTAAAAAAGAAGAAGAAGGGATGAAGCTCCACTCTGATATGTCAGTGATGTAACTGAGACTGCTCAGGCAACCTTGTGGACATTTGAAGTTTATTTTCTTTGCTTCTAGTAGTGATTCATATAAACTTTTTTATTTCTTTGTTTTCTTTAGAGATGGATGAGAATGTCTGCTCTAATGCCAGCACTTACAATATAACGCAGGACACATGTGGGGGGGGGTACCAAACATCCCACATCACACACACACTTGGACCCTCATTCATCCATATTTTCACGCTGATTTATGCCTAAATGTATCTCTATTGTGTCAAATGAGATGAGCTTGTGCATAGAGCAAATTAGATATATAACTCTCCAGTGATCTCAGATGAGGTGGTTTGTTTTTATGAACAACATTAGTCCCCCCCCTCTCCGTTCCCCCAATAGCAACATCTAGTTTTGGGGTCAGTGCCTCCGCCAACCCGCCAGCGCACGGCAGAGCCTGAATTGCAAAGGTTAATGGTATTGTCTGTCGGCAGAGGACCAAACCGCTATGCATCAGCGCTCCGAGGTGAAAGTGAGCGCATTAATGCTAATCAGTTAGCACTCTTTAGCATAATTTAGCCATCCTCCTTTTTGATTTATGATATTTTTAGCGAAGTTGTCAGGTTGAGTGGGCAACGTGCTACGGTTATTCAAATTCAGGGACTGCCTTTTTTATGTGTTTGCATGAAGAGTTGATTATTTGGAGATGATATTGTGCCACACACACACACACACACACACAGTTTAACAGTTTGTAACTAGGACCTGATGAAATATTCCTCAAAAAATAGACACAGTTTTTACTAGTATTGCTTGAATTGAGAAATTGTCAATCTTCTGTTAAAGCCAAATATTCTCTCGTGTTTTCTCTGTTTCCTTAAGCTGTCCTAACCTCTACAATGTATTGGAAATATACTCAGATATTTGCATCCCCAGCAAAAGTGATTATTCTTGAGTTGCTCATTTTAGATTTTGTCTCCATATTGAAGTTGAAGCACTTACCACTGTCTTTCTGCACCATCCAGAGAGCTGCCAAGTTCTTTCTCATTGACTTTCTGTCCATTTGGGTTTTTTTTCTAGAGGTGTCGCTCTTTTCTTTGTAATAACATCTAGTGAACATTTACTCAATAATAATAGTACATGTTATTTATAGAGTGCTTCTGATGGTACTCAAAGACACTTAACATGTTCAAATTCATAAAAACAACAAACTAAAATAAAACACAACAATATTTACAGATTAAAAGCAGATCTGAAAAGGTGGGTTTGGAATTGTGACTCCACATATTTTTTAGAACTATATATATTTCAAGCTATCTGTATTATTCAAATGTCAATTTTCACTTTTGAGTTGAGCTTAATGCTAGTTTAATTTGAGTGCTTGCCTGAAACCCAGTTATTCTGTTTATGACAGTGCCATAATGGACGTTTATTAATCTATATATACAGTATATGTTACGGCTGGACATTAAAATCCATAATTTGCTACTTAGTTTGCAGTTTTCTTTACTTGAACACCACAAAATAAACAGTTAACGCGCATAAAACTATTTAAAAAGTTGAAATTAAAAACAAATAATACAGCATACAGTTACTTCCTTCGTTATCTTAATATAGTGTTATTAGTCAATCAAATTGTTATACTAATTTTAGGTTTTAGGTAAATGTTTTTTTTTTCTCTGGCAACCTTTTTGAAATAGTGTTATTCTCAGCGGCAAAACCTGCTATAAAAATGTTCATTTCCTTTCAATCATCACGCTTATCTTATCAATAGCGATTATCACAGTCCAGTGAACTATGAGCTTTTCCCACCACTAAATGAAAACCCACAAGGAAACGCTGTGGTCTTTATCAGCGCTTCATCTACCTCCTCCTCTGCTCTCCTGTGCACTCAGTGGTGCTTGGCTGTCATGCAGGTGGATGATGATAATATAAGGGTGGTGCAGAGCTTCCAGACAGGAGATGGTGCCAGATAAGGAGACAGGCCCTCTCAGGGAGGTATGGCAGCCCTCCCACGAGTCAGAACGTTAGCCAGTGAAATTAGAGAGAGGACTCTGGTTGTGTGGCAACATTCTCCTCCCCTATGGCATCAGTGCAAAAAAAAGTCTACCTTTTAGTGGCAAGAAATGCATTCAGAAAATCTCATTTTAATTGTCATGAACAGACATTTTTCTAGAAAAATATAGTATGAGGGCAATACTGTGGTGCTGATCTTGTATGTATATGAATTGTCAGGAGAACATGAGGCCGATATACAAGATGGCACCGCGGACGTAAATAACAATGTGACGTCGGAGCTCCGTAAAAACAAAGACGTCTATGATAATTTGAGTAATTATACGTTTTTTGATGAACAGAAATATTGTTTTCTGGCATTTTACACAGAAAATCAGTATTCTGGTATGAGGGCGCACGCCGATAGTAAGAGCCTGATGAAGTCATCAAGGATCCTGACATTTCTATATCTGAGTATTAATTTTATTATAAAAACAGGAATATAATCCCAGTGTTTCCCCTACCATTGTCTTGGCGGGGCGCTGCGCCCTGCCAACGGAGCCCCGCGCCCTGCCTGAAATTCAAGGTGTTTTTTGTTCTTTTAATATATATATATATATATAGCACCAAATTGCAACTGAAGTAATCTATCTACGGTCACTTTTCACATGTGCTCTTTTATTAAATAAGCTAAACGCCTATGTTATTTATCCAATGTGCATGTTTCAGTGTCCACTGCTTTGCGTATTCACATTCTCCCTCCGCTCTGTTTCTGAAGGCTCCGCTCCCCCCCCACACACACACACACACGAATGCACACACTCACAATCAGAGACAAGAGCGGAGGAAAGGGGGAGAATAACAAAGTTTAAAAAAGTCTAACAAATCTGCATTATTGCCCCGAGCTCTGCTGTATGCCCGTTTGCATCCCCCCCCAGTTTCAAATTCATTTATTATTATTTTTTAACCGCAAGCCGTTATCGTCACGGGAGAAGGACACACACAACCTGCCCAGGTCGCGAACGCGAAAACGAACGTAGCGTGCATATTCTAAAAATAGCAGGTACCGCGGTTTTGAACTACAGTATTGAATTTGACAGAAAACCACAATGAAACGCCAGCAGAAGAATAGTCTAATGAGTTGGGTGAAAAAAAAGACAGGAGATGTGAGTTGGTTTATTCAGTAAATTAGCTCAGGATAATTGGATGTTCTGTCTACACCTGTTGATGTGAGGCTAATGCAGGATTTGCTAGCTTGATGCTACCGGCATTTAGCGGCAGTGACTCAACAAATTGCCTCTTAAAATGTATCGTCAGCAAGCAGACTGCTTGTTTAATGTTAGACTCACACCAATAGCTCAATATGATCATAACACGATTGCTTTCACATCAGAGATCAGATGAGGGTGGTACTTACTTGGACACGTCTGGTGACAAATTTTTATTTAAGTTAAGAAACATAGGGGCGGCTTACATGGGTTTTAGTTGTGACTTATCAACTGGTAGTAGGTTAAGTTGGGTTATTTAACCACGCGTCGACAATGTAGTCGTCATAGTTGTCTTCACCAACATTTCCGTCTCTGTCGCATAGTTGTGCGTATTCTCGTATAAATCCTAAGTCACCAAAGGGGATCCAAATGACAGGAAACCGTCCCACGACGAGGCCCTGGGGGTTTTTTTACAATAGGAGACCTCGTCTCTCTCCTTGACACCTAATAACAATAACTATAGCATGTCATGTGTTTCATATACATGTAATTTTCATTATTCCATGTCCCAATGTGACACGACATAAGTGAAAATAAGTTTGACATAAGGGAAGAATTAGTACACGGAGTCGAAGAAGGGAAAGTAACTATGTAAAGTGGACTGATGTCGTATATTTATGGACGCGTTGGGAACACGACGACGACGAAGAGAGACGGAGTAGGAGATAACGACCA